GGGAACCATAATGATTGGTTATGTCTTTGTATGAATCTGTTTAATATCTTGTGCCCTGCATTATTGGGTCATTCTAAACACTCCTGCTGTTCCAGCTTCTTCATTGCTTTAATAAACACTACTGTTTCATACACGTGTGTTCATCTGAATGCGTGGAGGATCGGACAAGCTTTTCAATAAAGTATTACCTTTCCTGATAAGCGTGTACTACGTTGTTGGCTGTGGGTTCTGACAGCTTGTAGCTGCCACCACTTCCTGAGGCAGTGAATTCCATGTGTTAATTACTCTTTTGGTGAAGAAGTACTTCCTTTTGGGGACTTCCGGTTTATGGCGGCGTGGACCTCCCGGGGGTGAAGCTGCGCTCCAGCCGAAGGAGGGGGTGCGCAGGTTCGTCATCTCCCCAGGGGGCCGGCGAAGGGACCCTGGCCATGGAACTTCAAAGAGGTGGCCTCTTTGACGGCGGAATGCCGGAGAATTGAGGTGCCTCTTCGTTCCGACGGTCCTACGTGCTGTGAGACCAAATGGACCTAAGTGACGCTGACCGGGGCAAGCGCAGGAGATCGAGTGTTAGAAATGAAGCTGAAAGCGAGGTCGAAAGACCAACTATGAACGTGAGTCAGTTTTAAAGCATTTTAAAAGAAAAAAAGATAGCTCCCCACCCCACCCCACTGAACAGGAAAAAGGCGAGCGGGGGAGGGACGCCTCCCATGCGCATGAACTTTTGAGCGATTAACCCAGAGTTACATCTGGCACTTCAGAGCCCAACCCATCTGTACATGAAGTGTTGGTACCTTCAGATGTGGAAAATCGCAGGCAGGAAAATGATCTAATCACAATGGTCAAGTACTCTGAAAGCTCAGGGGCATCATATGACTATGCACAACATGTAAGAAAACAAGATTGGGGGCAAACAAAATGAGATACTGGAAGAAATGTGAACAATTTTGGTAAATTGTAGCCATATAGGTCCCTGAATAGACCTGCTTAGCCTGAGCTTCTCAGAACTTGGAAGCTAAGCAGGGACGGCTCTGGTTAGTACTTGGCTTGGAGATCACCTAGGAAGTCCAGGGTTGCTATGTGGAGGATGCAATGGCAAATCACTTCTACTTATCTCCTTGCTGAAATGCTGACAGCACATTCTTCTTGGGGACCCAATCTGGAGGACAGATGAAGTTTAACACAACACCTCCTGCTTGTACCCTATTGTCTCTTCACACCATTAACTCCCATAGGCCGTTCTTAGGGCTGAAACTACAAAAGAGATAGGTACTTCTTTGCCTGTATGTTTTTTTCTTCCATGGGAAGGGAGTCACTACTTTTGATCAGAGAAATCACATCTCCCAGTGTCATAGCTTGACCCTCATTCAGAAAAACAAATGGCCCCTTCTTTGACTACTCCCAAGTGGTGATGAATCGCCACACCCAATAATGCACTGGAGGTAGAGTTGCCAGTTCTGACTGAGAAATACCTGGAGATTTGGGGGATGGAGTCTGGGGAGTGTGGAGTTTGGGGAGGGGAGGGGAGGGACCTCAGCAGGATACAATGCCATAGAATCTATCCTCCAAAGCAGCCATTTTCTCCAGGGGTACTGATCTTGGTCATCTAGAGAGGAACTGTAATAGCAGGTGATCTCCAGGTTCTACCTGGAGGTCAGTAACCCTAACTGGAGAGTTTTGCAGCAGGTGGGGCAGAGATGTTCAGAAAGGCCTGCGCTTCACAGGAAGTTCTCTCCAGGTGACTGGGAATGGGGTGTGCAAAAGGTGGGGAAGACATAAACATGGAGCTAAGCCTTTAAGTAGCAAACGTCCACATTCAGAGGCAGTCAACATCTGGATCCCAGTACCAGGAGGCAACGTTCGGGGAAGGCCTTGGCTTCTGTGCCGTTTTGTTAGCCCCAGGGTCAGAATCAACATACCCTCAGGTGGGACAGTTGCCAGAAAAGAGGAAGAGATTGCATTTATACCCTGCCCTTCACTTGGAGTCTCAGAGTGGCTTACAAACTCCTTTCCCTTCCTCTCTCCACAACAGACACCCTGTGAGGTAGGTGAGGCTGAGAAAGCTTTGAGAGAGCTCCTCTTGAGGGAACAGCTCTGAGAGAACTCTGACTGACCCAAGGCCACCCGGCTGGCTGCATGTGGAGGAGAGGAGATTCAAACCTGGTTCTACCAGATTAGAGTTGTTGTTGTTGTTAAGTCGCACAGTCGAGTCCAACTCTTCACAAACCCATGGACCACATCATGCCAGGCCCTCCTGTCTTCCATCATGCTCCAAAGTTTGCTTAATTTGCTTAAACCATATTAGATTACACACTCCTAACCACTACACCAAACTGCCAGGGCCCAGGGGTTCTGGCAGGGCCCACAACTGCTATCCTTTCCCTGCCTGCTTGTTGTGAGTGCTCTGCCATGCATGCAGCCATCTGGATACACTGTCCAGTGCCTTCAGACAAGGACTGCAGGCTGTGCTGATGGCTCTGAGCACAGGCAGTGGGAGGGTTTGCATGCAAGACAGGGAAAGAATGCACAGTGAGGTAGTGAGACACATGGGTGAGTGGGCAGTAGTGAGACACATGGGTGAGTGGGCAGTAAGGGGGCTCCTGGGAACTCTCTGCCCAGGGCCCTTCAAAATCTGGAACCATCCCTGGTTGGCCTTGGTTGACCCCCTCAAGGGATCCAGGAGAATCAACATGATTGCACTTCCCCCCATCCATCTCCTAATATATTCCATGTGTTTCTTGGACAAATTGGGGTCGGGGACCCATGAGACTCATGGGGGGAGGTGTGAATCCTATCCTTTGTGTTTTCCACCATTGCTGAGTTGCCCACCATTTGTGATGCCCACTTGCCATCCAGCCCACCTGCCCAAAACACCACCACCTAGCTCACATGGTGGGGGGCAGTGGCTATGGAGGTCATGGCTCAGCCACTCCAGCCCTCCTGTCTGCCTGCCCACAGTACCACCACTGCCTATCTGAATAGCACATGTGATGGGAGGCCAGGGACTTCTGCTCCCCTGTCCATCTATTCATCCATCCTTCCCACTCACCATCAGCAGCATGGCATTACTTCCAGCCTGGCTGTGTTTACATCCAACCAGGCCACAGGAGGGGCCAAACTGATACTCTTTTAACACCATCTGCTCTTGTCCCCCTCTCTGTGTCAAGGGAGTTAAACTCTCCTCCACTGTTAAGAAACTGTTCACATTTTCCTACAAATCTAGAAAATCCTCAAGCAGCCTGGATAGCTCTGACTAGTTTGCGCTTACCAGAGCTGGAAGTTTAAGCAGGGCTGGCCCTGGTTAGTGCTTGGATGGGAGACCACCAAGGAAGACCGGGATTGCTAAGCAGAGAAAGGCAATGACAAACCATATCTGAACATCTCTTGCCTTGAAAACCCCATGATTGGGGTCACCATAAGTTTGTTACAACTTTTGTTGTTGTTGTTCAGTCGCACAGTCGAGTCCAACTCTTCGCGACCCCATGGACCAGATCACGCTAGTAAACAAGTATAAAGACAACAGTCGTGAGAGTCTGACCCACAAATCAAACAGTCATTAACACTTAAAGAATGCGATCTATGTATTACAATTTGAAGCACTACAACATGATAAACAATTCATAAGAAAATCCTCGAACCAAGGTACATAATCAACGTCGTCTCTGGATTATATAACGTTTCAAAAAAATGGATCTTCTTCAGGAGATATTTTGTAGTGTACAAAAATACAATGTTTTAGAATACATGCTACGCCAATAACGAGAGACAATACAATAATCTTAGTGCTATCTTACTTACATAATGGTGCAAAAGCTATCTGTTTCATAAGTGCTAGACAACAAGTCTTAAGAAATCTGTAATATACTAATGTTCCCTTTGTCCCATACAAGCTTATTAGAGTATTGAAACTAAAAACTTTTTTTGGCAATTCTAATAGACAGGAATCTAGACCGGTTTTTAAAAAGAAATCCACATTTACTCCAAATATAACAGATCCAGCCATAACTACTTTTGAAAATCTGATAAACAGAGATATAGCCAAACTAGAGAGAAGCAGTAGGGTTTCCAACTATAATTTTAGTATAGAAGAATTATCTAAAATACATGATCTTGCTAATGATCCCAACATAATAATTAAAGAAGCTGATAAAGGCGGGGCGATTGTAATTCTAAACTATCAAGACTATGTCAATGAGGCAGTAAATCAACTACAAGATCAACATTATTATGCCAAACTGGATCATGATCCTACAGAACATATTCTTAACCTAATCAAAACTATAGGGAAGCTCTTAGTTTAGTTTATATAGATAGCATGCTTTATGAGTTTCTTCTCAATGATGCACCTAGGATCCCCAGATTTTACATCCTCCCAAAAATCCATAAGCCAGACCGACCACCAAAAGGACACCCAATAATTTCTGGGTGTTGTTCATTACTAGAACCCCTATCTAAGTACCTGGACTCCTTTTTACAATTTTTTGTCCAAGCAAGTACAGCATACTTAAAGGACACAACAGACTTCATCAATAAAGTTGAGGGCCATCTAGTAACAGAACATACTTATCTTTTAACATTGGACGTGACTTCTCTTTACACTAATATTCCTTTAGATGAAGCAAGGAAAATCACTGAATACACATTAGACAGAAGGGAAAATAAAAATCCTCCTACCCATTTCCTCATGGACATTACTGATGTTATTTTTGAAAAGAATTACTTCTTGTGGGAAGGTCAATTTTTCATCCAGGTCAGTGGTGTGGCAATGGGAAGTGCTGCAGCACCATCCAAAATGGCTCTCTCACAGCTCTAATGCCAGGAGCTCACAAAGCAGAATTTTTGCTCAGGAGACTCCACCGCTTAGAGGGAGCACTGCCTTGGACCCCACCCGAGTCCGTGGGCTGGGAAGGGGGCTCCGTGGACGTGGATGGCCCCCCTGATGTGTCCTCATCTCATCGCCTGTCTGTCTGTCTGTCTCGCTCTCTTTCTTGCCAGCAGGAAGAGGCCATGGATGCTCAGCCCAGGCCCGGCAGCGCAGAGAAAGCGGCCTCTTTCCAGCACCTGCCCTGCACCAGCCCCGGCAACCCCGTCTTCTCCTGCATGCTGAAGGCGGCCACGCTCACCACCGGCACTTGCCTGACCAGGCCCCAGCTGCTGCTGTATAAAACAACCTCCAGCGACTACGGGGCTGTGCCCCCCACCACACCAATGGTCCCCTGTCGGTATTACCCAAAGGATAACTCCTTAACAGATCACTTATTTGCTTGTGGCAAGACAGAGTATAACTGTATTAACACAGCCCTGGACAAAAGCAAAGTGTATGACCATCCTGATATTCTCAACCTTTTATGAAGGGCCCGGTGCCTTCTGAGTTGTGGGCTGACACAATAAAGCTATTCAAAGCCCCCATGTTTAGTGTTCCTGTTCATTTTAACATGCTAATATTGAGACCGCTTACTTGCCAGGAAATCTAATAGATGTCAGTAAGACTGAATTAGTCATAGATGTAAAGACATGTATTTATTTAGTTCATTTATATAAAATTATCTCAACTCTTAGATTCTGAACCACACTGAAAGATCAAGGGACCCCAGAGCCTCTCGATGGTGGAGGGGGTGTAGCCCTCATGGATGAGCTTTGGAGTCCCCTGGCTCCAGGCGGGTCAGCGCTGCTGTTACTTCTTGGTTTTACAACAGCGTTCGACACGGTTGACCATGATCTCTTGGCCCACCGCCTCGCCAGCACTGGAATATGGGGGACTGTGTTGCAATGGCTCTCCTCCTTCCTTTAGGGTTGGGGACAGAGGGTGGCGCGTGGGGAGGGGTTGTCCCAGCAACATCCACTAATACGTGATGTGCCACAAGGGGCCATCTTCTCCCCGATCCTGTTTAACATCAATATGTGCCCCTTCACACAGTTGGCTCAGAGGAATGGGCTGGGTTGTCATCAATATGCTGATGATACCCAGCTCTGTCTGCTGATGGACAGATGGATGGACTCCGCTCCTGAGGTATTGAACGGGGCATTACAGGCTGTGACTGGATGGTTTCAACAGAGTTGGATGAAACTGAATCGAATGAAGACAGAGGTCCTGTACCTAGGCCGTGGGAATCTGGGATCAGGAATCCAACTCCCAACTCTCAATGGGACACTGTTGGTGCCATCGCCGAGGGTGAAGAGCTGAGGGGTGGTCCTGGATTCCTCTTTCTATGGAGGCCCAAGTTGCCACCGTTGCTCGATTGCCCTTTCACCTCCTCCGGGTGGCCAAGCAACTGGTTCCCTATCTCACTTGGCTACAGTGAACCATGTAGGTTGGATTATTGTAACTTGCTCTACGTGAGGGGCTACCCTTGTGTACTTGACCCAGAAACTGCAGCTAGTGCAGAACGCAGCAGCATGGGTGTGACAGCAGCGTCTGTGTGGGAGTGCATTCAGCCTGTGCTGCACCCATGGCAAAGACCGCCAATAGAGTACTGGGTCCAGTTCGTCTGTGTGGGCGTGCATTCAGCCCGTGCTGCACCCATGGCGAAGACCGCCAATAGAGTACTGGGTCCAGTTCAAGGCTCTGGTGCTAACCTTCAAAGCCCTATGCGGCCAGGGACCGACATACCTTCGGGACCACCTCTCCCCATATATGCCCCGCAGAGACCCCGCCGCTCCAGCGATCAACATCTCTTAGCTGCCCCTGCCCCGAAGAACATCCGATTGGCCTCAACCAGGGCCAGGCTTTTCTAGCCCTGGTCCCTGTCTGGTGGAACAAGCTCCCGTTTTGAGCTGTTCCGCTGGGCTTTCAGTTGAGGAATCAGACGTCCAAATCCATCTTGGCCTCCCTTGCTGACAGCGCTAATTTTCTTAATCTAGTGAATTATCCAGTGGCGCCGCTCTGAAATGTTTTCATCTGAGCTCTGTTATTAAGGCATGCTTGCTCTGGTGTGCTGCACAGTTGATTTTAATATTGACTTTATTATTAAACTTCTGTTTGTTGTTATTGCTGTCACGCTGTTTATGTGACTTTGTAACCGCTTGCGGGGAGGGCGGGATAGAAATCGAAAATAAAGATTTTCGCTTTCTATCCCGCCCGGGAGTGCCAGTGGAGGGCCTCACATGGCTGAGCCCTCTTCCACACGAAACCGAGCCCTCTCCCCCAACACACCTCGCTCTCTGTAGGCAGGAAATCTGTCAAAACCCCGGCATGGGGTAAGAGTGAGGGCACTTGGATTCCTTCCAGCCCTCAACTCTAAGCAAATAAGGGGAAAGTGCAGAAAAGGGCAACTAGAATGATAAAGGGGTTGGAACACTTTCCCTATGAAGACAGGTTAAAGGGCTTGGAGCTCTTTAGCTCAGAGAAACGACGGCTGAGTGGTGACATGATCGAGGCTTATAAGATTGTGCATGGGAAAGAGCAGGTAGAGAAAGAGGTACTTTTCTCCCTTTCTCACAATACAAGAACTCGTGGGCACTCCATGAAATTGCTGAGCGGTTGGGTTAGAACGGATAAGAGGAATTCCTTCTTCACCCAAAGAGTGATTCACACATGGAATTCAGAGTGCCACAGGAGGTGGCAGCACCTACGAGCACGGACAACTTCAAGAGGGAATTAGATAAGCATGTGGAGCAGAGGTCCATCAGTGGCTATTAGCCACAAGGTATCAATAGGAACTCTCGGTCTGGGGCAGGTGATGCTCTGTATTCTTGGTGCCTGGGGTGGGGGGAAACAGTGGGAGGGCTTCTGGAGTTCTGGCCCCACTGCTGGACCTCCTGAGGGCACCTGGTATTTCTGGCCACTGTGTGACACAGAGTGTGTTGGACTGGAGGGGCCACTTGCCTGATCCACCATTGGCTTCTCTTATGTTCTTAGTATCTATGGAAACCTACAGAGCAAAAACATGTGTATCAGCCCAGACCCACTATGAGGAGAGAGAAGAAATGCTCACGTCATTCTCATCCTTCACAAGAGTGGACCTGAATGCACCTGCATGGAATTCTAAATGGACAAGCAGCAGAATCAAGATATGAAGGGAGGATACTGCTGGACTAGATGGACACCAAGATCCTCCTCTGGCTGACCATGCTGGGAATGTATTTTCCATGAATAATTGATTAAAAAACCGTCATCTCTCACAGGTTAGAATTTGATTCCTAGAAAACAGCTAAAACTCTTACTTTATTGAACTGCTACGCTGTATGTTCAAAAACGATGTAGAAGAAGAAGAAGAAAAGATTGGATTGATACCCCGCCCTTCACTACCCAAAGGTGTCTCAGAGTGGCTTACAAATTCCTTTCCCTTCCCCTCCCCACAACAGACACCCGAGGTAGGTGGGGCTGAGAGAGCTCTGACAGAAACTGCTCTTTTTCAAGGACAGCTCTGCAAGAACTATGGCTTGCCCAAGGTCATCCAGCAGGTGCAAGTGGAGGAGGAGTGGGGAATCAAACCCGGTTCTCCCAGAGTAGAGTCCACGCACTGAACCACTACACCAAACTGGCTTTCCTGGGTACTTCATCATCCTAGGAATTCTGACATTTCATCTAGACAATATTTTACCAGTATTGGTAGCAGTTTTTAAACAAACACAGCCTCAAGTACAGTTAGGTTTCTTTCTACTTTATTGAGCAAAATACTAAATTAGAAAAGTTATGTTCTAATGTTATTTAAAGAAGCATTTCATACAAAGAAAACGTTTTTACAAAATAAGAACCTCAAATGGTGTACTTTACAGTTACTACTTAAGATGAGCCGGAGAAGAAGACCTTTAACCCCAGCGATGCTGTACCGAAGCATCGTCCCAGAAAAGAACTCCCTCCGCTGAGCAGCATCAGGGCCAGCTCACAAGGCCTCCAGCTGCTCTCCCAAGCCGGGGGCTCCCATCAAAATCATCCTGTTTCTTGGATGATGCGTCGGATCTTCTCAGCATCCTCTGAGATACTTTTGTTTGTGGGCTCAATCCTGAGGGCAGCCACATAATCTTGCAGACCTAGTAGTAATCCAGCATGCAGATTTTAAGATTTTAGGGCAAGGACAGGTCGGCTTGCTTCCCAGTACAGGCTGCTCACTTCCTCCTGGCGGGGGCAGGGGAGCAAACCAGTCCGGACACAGCAGCACCCTCCTAGTTCCCCTGCTCCATTTGTGTTCCTCTCACCTCTTTGAGCACATCTGCCCCAATAAGTCCTCGAGGCAGACAACACAAACCCTACCATGCCTTTACTCCCCACAGAGTACAAGCCAAGCTTGTTGCTCTCTTCCAGCTGAAGCAAAGGCAGCTCCACGAGCTCCCAGTCTGCAAAGTGGGGAAGGCTAAAAACGATGATCTGCAAACACCAGCAATGCTACCAAGCTGCTGCTCTATCTATTTCCTAGACGCAAGGAGATGAAAAACTTCCCTCTCTCTCTCTCGCTCTCTCTCTCGCACACACAGACACACACTCTCTCTCTCTCTCTCTCTCTCTCTCGCACACACAGACACTCTCTCTCTCTCTCTCTCTCTCTCTCGCACACACACACACTCTCTCTCTCTCTCTCTCTCTCACACACACACACACACACACACACACAAAGCTTTCAAAAGCCAAAAGTAAGTTTCCATCTGGAATTACTCCGCCTGCCGTATCAGTCTCCATTAGAGTGTCTAGTGTGTCCTCTGGGAGAAAATACCACAAAAATATGGGTGAAGAGCCAACAGTGAAAGGAGTAGGTGTTTTCATTTTCACTTACTCCCTGTGCCACGACGCTGCTGAGGGGAGAATCCCACTGTGTGTGTGGGGGGGGGGGATAAGTGGAAGAATGCCAGAACACCCCAAAGGACAAGCAGTGACCAGCAAAGCCTCGCGACTCCAAACACGGCAGTAGTGAACCAATGAGCCCAAGGACTGGAGGGAGCGTTTCCAGCATCTTTTTTCCTTACCTTCAGCGTACAGTTCCAGCTCACAGAATGCCGTCCCTCGTCTGACGTGAGCTTTCGCTCTGGCGTTAGCATTGTCTGGAACGGGCGGAGTTAATAAATCCAGGGCCTTGAAGAATGAAACATACAAGATGCTCCGGGTGACATTTCACAACAGGTCCCTCTTCCCCCTCACAAACGGCATGGACCATCTGACCCTCTCCCAGTGTACATAAGAACATCAGAGAAGCCCGTGTTGGATCAGGCCAAGGGCCCCTCCAGTCCAACACTCTGTCTGTCACACAGTGGCCAAAAATACCAGGGGCCACCAGGTGGTCCGGCAGTGGGGCCAGAAGCCCTCCCACTGTTGCCCCCACCCCCCCAGGCACCAACAATACAGAGCATCACTTGCCCCAGACCGAGAGTTCCTATCTATACCTTAAGGACTTAAGAACATAAGAGAAGCCAATGTTGGATCACCCAATGGCCCGTCCAGTCCAACACTCTGTGTGGCCAAAAACACCAGGGGCCATCAGGAGGTATAGCAGTGGGGCCAGGACACTGGAAGCCCTCCCACTGTTGCTCCCCCCCACCCCCAAGCACCAAGCAGACAGAGCATCCCTTGCCCCGGCCTGAGAGTTCCTATCTATACCTTGTGGCTAATGCCAAGTGCTCAAGGATGGAGGGAAAGCCAGGGGAGGCCATCTTTCTTCTTTCCTCTCTGCCAGGGACGTTTCCCCCAGCTGTGCCTCTTCTTCCACAGCAAACCCCCCACACAGCCCCTCTCACACCACCAGGTTCATCGGACAGAGGAAGCTGCATTCCCGTTCCATTTGCCCAGCAACGGCCTCTCCCCTCCTCCCAGGGGTGCCTGGCCACAGGGTACAAAAGGGGGGAACTAGAATCCCGAGCCTTGAGAACGACACCCACGTGGGCAGGACAATGACGGCAGGCCACGGGAGGAGTGAGCGGGACCCCCACCGGAGGGGCCGGCATCGCCGTGGGCTGGCTGCACAGTTTGCACCTGGTCAGCAAATGGGGTGGGAGGCAGGGCGCTGAGCCCAGTGCAGAGCGCTTTCCCTGATGTTTGCTGCACGATGATGTGTACACGATGCACGATGATGTGTACACATTCCAGGCAGGCTTGAAGACAGAACATGGCACGTGGCTGTCCTTCTTCAGCAGAGGGATTCAGGCGGGGGCGGCCGTGCTGGTCTGAAGCGACAGATCAGAGTTTGAGTCCCGTCAGGCACCTTAAGACCAGCAAAGTTTCATTCCAGGTCTAGGCTTCCGTGCGCACACAAAAGCTTATATGCAGAATGAAACTTTGCTGGTCTTAAAGGTGCCTGACGGGACTCAAACGTTGTTCAGTTCCTCAGCAGAGTTTTCCCAGATGTCGAGTAGTGGGGCTTTGGCGAATCTGGGAGAAGCTGAATGTTTTAAGAATTGAGGGCGTACCCCTGAATTTGGGGAAAACAATAATCAGCATTAATCAGAAACGATAATGGGTGAGATCGTGCAGTGTTTGCACAGCCAACTGTGCGCATGGCAAAGTGAAGCAATGGACAAATCAGCTGCAAACCCAAAAGCAGCTCAGGAATACCTTGGAGGAATCTTCAATGGCCTTGTGCAGATTTTTCAGCCTCAAGTGGCAAGCGGCTCGATTCAAGTACAGGGCTGGAATCTTACTGTTGATACGAATGGCCAAATTGTAGGCACCCACAGCAGCAAGGAAATTCCCAGTGGCAAACATTTTACTAAAAACATAAAAACACAGTTATTAAAAGACAAACACAACCAAATATCACAACTTATGATTCGTCCAGATCATAAAACACAGGCATCGGAAG